AATCTGAGAGGCAAACCGAGTGCACTGTCTTCATTGCTCCTGAACTTTACCTGTATTTGCAGGGATTTCTTCTTTGTTATTGTGGCGCCATTCCTGGGGCCCGTAACAAAAGCAACAAACTCAATTGATTTCAGAATGCTTATGTCAAAGTAGAAAAAACAATGAGACTTTGCATTTTTAGCAGATACAGTTTTGACTTGCTATACTGCCATGAAGAGAGCATGGGAACCTTTTTATGAGAGTGCACCCAGCTGCTGCTGATTACGATAAGCCCTCCACCTCTGACATCTGATATAATTTCTCTTTGTGGTTCCTTATCATCTCTTGCATGTCACTAGTGTACTCGAGCCAGCTTCAGTGAAGCACCTCTGCAAACATCCCTGCACTGAAGAGCGTAAGACCAGGAAGCCTTTGTTACACTGATCCACTGTTTATCACAGCAGTTTTACAGAAAACCAGGTTTTCTGTAGATATTTGTAAAAATATTACATTCCCACTAAACACTGGATGTTGGGTAGACGTGCAGATCATGTCTGTCTTGAGTCTGTTGGTCTTAAAACTTGAACTTTGGACTGGGTAATATTTTTGGACGTCATGTGGACATCTATGACAGGTGCAGGAAATTTACATGATTAATACATTTGTTTATTTACAAATATTAACATTGTTGTTATAAATATTATATACATGAATACAGATATTTATAAACAAACCTGATTTATTATGTGTTAGCCTGCTGATTTATAAAGTATATGTGTTATTGAAGTTTAATGAGTTTAAAAGAGCATCTGCCCACGCCATCTCATAGATGTCTGCTGATCACTCTGCACACCTTCACACATATCTGTTTCTGTCCTCCACCCTCTGGAAACACGGGACTACAGAGCCTCTAGAAGCAGTATAAAATCAACATCTATAATGAGTTGGAGTTTGACTCTGAAAAGACGTGAACAATGACCATATTTGGACTATAAATAGCCCGTGCATGGAGGCCCTAATGATGTCAACACTAGAAGTTTAAAAGGCGATGAAACAAAGATGTCATATTGACGTCCAAGTTGGCTCATGGTTGGATGATCAAATTGTGGACCTAGTTTGGATGTCCAAAATTGGTTAGGGCCTTGGTCTGAGCACAGAAAGAAGTGCTCATTAGTCCATCTGGAGTCATATATGTCAGCCAGTACAGAATTTCCATAAACTGTATGGACTTTTTCATCGATTTTTATTACTTTTGGGTTACTATGAATTTTTGGGCACTTTATCAGGAGAGCTTCCTCTCTGAGTGAGTGTGTGTGTGTGTGTGTGTGTGTGTGTGTGTGAGAGAGAGAGAGAGAGAGAGTCTGATGATCAGAAATGTGTGATGTGTGGCACTGTGTGATCAGAAAGAGTCAGATTGTGCAAAGTACATGACTGAAGCAAGGAATTTATTTATATTGCACTTTCAGAACAACTCCCTGCTGAACACAAAGTGCTGTACACTTGACATGCCAAAAATGATACATTGAATAAGTAAAAAAAATGAGATAAAAATAGAAATACTTCAGTATTACTGTAGTAATACTGAACTATTACTACACAATAATACAAGCTGTACAAATGTAAGAATGCAAAGTTATCTGTGGCTTATCGCTGAGTCTTTTTTTTAAGGGTGTGCTATAAAAAAGTGAACATTTTCCATTATTCTTTAGACTCTGTTCAATTTAAATTGAAAAAGTAAATACAAACAGTCACAAAGAAGTCATTATACAAATGATTCTAATTAATGCAGAAAAAGAGAAATGTATAAACAGGTACGAAAGGTTTATTTTTAGACAATATGAGATAAAACAACGTTAGAAGATCTTATTTTCTCATTAGATTGAAGAATCTCTTTAATACATATGAAGACGGAACAATAATGACATAAAAAATTAAATTCACTGAACAAAATTCAGATTTCAGATGTCTGCAGATATAAAATCATTTGTAAAGGTAACATTTAAATTTAAAAGCCCCAGAACTAACCAAAAACTGTAGAAAGTAATGGAACAAGAGATTATTAATTTAATTGTTAGTAAACCTGAGAATCAATGTTTTATTTTAGATTATAGATTTTTTCTTAATTTTGCATTAAGACGTGGTACTTCTTAGATTGTTTTCATTTCTGCAACTTTCACATTAACTGACTAATCAGCAGGTCTAATACAAACATGATGCTGTGTTTCAGTGGATTCAGGAATTTTAGTGAATCTGAAGATGTCTGGGCCACCTGAGTGTGGAGTAACTACACTGGACACCACGCCGTATGCCTTTCCATCTTCACAGACCAATGGACCACCAGAATCTCCCTGGAAGTAAATATTCAGCATGTGAAGCAGTGATGCTTCAAAAGTGAGTTAACTGAACAAAGTCAGTTCACTTTATTTTACAAAAATGTAAGTACCTCACTTGGACCAGTGTCTCCCTGAGAGCAGTAGAAGTTTTCCATGGTGCAGTACTTATTGTCAATCAGTGTTACGCTAGTTTCCATAAGTGTGGGAGAAAAATATTTACTATTCCGGTGTGTTCGTCCCCAGCCAGAGAATATACATGATTTTGGCAAAGTACCATCATCATGACTCGCCAGAGGAATAGGTTTCACATTCTCACTGAACTTTGCCTTGGAGCTCAACTGGAGGGAAAAAACAAATAAAACAAACAAAATAAAATAAAAACTGTAAACTGAATTTTTTTTCAAACTCAAATTCAAGGGAGCATTTAAAAATAATAATGTGGGACTCACTATTTTTTATTATATTGTACTTTCTGTGCAGGGATACCCTTACCTTCAGAAGCATTACATCATTTATAAAAGAGGTTTGGTTGAAGTATTTATGTGGAAATTGTTGTTCCACAGATATGCGCTGTATTTCGCTATTACTACTCACATTGTGAACTCCTAGTAAGGCAGTGTAAGACCTGAAATGACACAAAATTATGTGAAAAAAATCATCTAAGAATACAATGATTAGTGTTTCTGTGAGAATGTAGAACTCCTGCACCTACAGAGACTATTTATTCATGTATTTAAATTTTCAGTGCATCAGTCTAAAAAAATATCATAGAAAAATATGAAGTTACTTAAACTCACTCAGCATGGCAGTGGGCAGCAGTCATCACAAAATCCTCATTCAGAAGGAATCCGGCACCGTATTTCTTTCGACCATCTGACATGTGCCTCTGCAAAAGCACCATGTATGGTCTGCTATGTGGCACAGCCTCATGGCCTCCAAGGATTGTATAAACTGGAAATATACATACATAATTTGCTATAGTACCGTTATATTCAGTAAAGTCAAACTGCAGAAAATGTAACTTACCATGACGATCAAGGGTCAGCACAAATATCAGTGTTGCCAGGTTACAGTGGATGAACATGATAGGTTCCCAATGATAGGTCTGAAAAGAAGTGACACACGTCTGCTGTGAAGCTGCAATATGTTTGTGCGATATGCACACGTGTGGTTTTTCACAACATGCTGATTATGATCAGAAAAAGAGAAACTGTGGAGTGAACTAAAACATCAATACACATGACGAACTCACTATAAAGAGTGATTCTGACCTCGAGTCTAAACTTTAACCAATACAAGAGGAGCTGAGACGTGATGACTGTGAACTGTGATGTTTAGTGTGTGTTGGCTCCCCTGCACGTGTTACATACTTTATTTACAAACTTCCACAATGTCAGAATAAATTGTTAAATTTTGTCATTGTTGTTCTTAAATATGTAAACCGTGCCTTAAACTGCATGGTTAGATATTCGTCTGTTCCTCGCCTACACATCTATGATGCTGGGGGAGGTAATTAGCTGTAGCTGTTTAACTGCAGGCACATTCTATGTGAGATTCTGGGTTCCTCATCTTCTGAGGGATGTCTACCCCCGGGCATTTAGGGGCTCGCCTATGCTTGCATATGGTGAACCATTAGAGTTAAGCCGTATACGTGTGTGGGGAGATGACCTTTGGATAACCAGGAAATGTGGTTAAACAGTTGTAAGCATATATTGTGTTCCGCCGGTTCCATCGTTATCTTGCTTTCTTCTTGAGTGATGAGTCTCTGAACTAGCAGGTCTGCTGAAGCGCAGATCCAACTAGGGCTGCCACGATTAGTCGACTAGTCACGATTAGTCGACTATCAAAATCGTTGACGACTGATTTAATAGTTGACGCGTCGTTTGAAGATCCCAAAAGACACAGGGATAAGTAGTAGGATTTAAGAGGGTAATAACGGACTGAAACAGAAGATGGCAGCACTGCATGTACAAGGATGCCAGCTGCTGTTAAACCCCGAAGAAGAAGAAGCTGTGTCCCAGAATTCATAGCGCGGCCCAGCTCAGTTTCCAACAATGGCGGCATCTAGTTAGTTTTAATATTACTCTTATTATTCTTTCTAAGTCACAAAATAAACGTTTAGCATATTTTCAGGCGAGAATGTAGCTGTGTAAACCTCAAATATCTGCTCAGTTTATCAAGACACCACATATTTTCAAAAGCGCTC